TGTCGCTGCCCGCGGTGGCGATCAGCCTCAGATCAGCTGTTTTAGGCCGATTTTGCATTAATCCATGCGAGAAAATACGTTAAGGGATATTGGTTGGCCGAAAAAATACAAAAAGTCCAAACTCATCGGCAGCGGGACTCTCCGATGCAGCGACTCCTCCGGCTCACATTGTGGTTGGGTGTTTTGCTCCATTTAACCTGTAGAGAATGAAACAGTAATTACAATTGTAGAAAAATTATGAAAAATAGGAATCGGGAAGGGGCTTATCGGAGACATTTTGTGAAATTTCCTACGGCAGCGCTGCTGGACTTTGCCCATCAGTTTCTCGCCAATCCGCTGGTTTTTTTGCTTCGATTTAGGCATGGAAGTGTTTAAAATTGAATTCTGAGCAAAAAAAAATTGTTTTATCTCTTTTGGCGGTCGGAAAGGGCTCCAGTGCGACGGGGGGTGGCGGCAACCTCCTTCTCGGCGGCTGGATCTTCTTCTCTAGCGAGGGGGAGTCTGGCGGCTAGGGTTAGAGTTTAGTGTGAAGGGGGTTATTTATACTTGTTCTCTTTTGATCTGGGCTATCTATCTCATTTGATCTGAATCGTCCGATCGCGATTAAATAGTGAGTGAATCTGGACCGTTCAACGCGATTTAATCTGGACCGTTTGTGCCCGCGGGGGCATATCTGGGCCATTCGATCATGGGCACGTGGATCGCCCGCGTAGCCTCCCGCGTGGTACCTCGTCAGCGTCTATTGCCATGCGGTGTGTCTTGTTTCGTCGGGGTTGCTGACCGGGCATCTCACGTGGCACAATTTCTTCAAATTGTATTTTGACTCCCAGTTTTTGATTTTTTTTAAAAAAAATAACAAAAGAATCCAAATTTTTATATATATTTTTCTTAAAATTATTTTCAATTTCATTCTCCATCAAATTTTTTTTCAATTTTACACTAAATTACAATTAAAAAATTGAAAAAATTATATTTATAAATTAATTTAATTTACATTAAATTAAATTTGGACATTACACTTTCTTTTTTAGTAACGAAGGAAATAATAAACATCAATTTTCTCTGTTTGCAGGTAAAATGAATGCATATTTTCGTTTCTTTTTTAAAAAAATTTAAGATTTTCGAATTATTTTGACAATTAACAAGTAATTTCTGATCCATAAGCTGCTCGTAGAATAAGATTTCATCTTAAAAAGGGTATACGATTAATACGGTAATAAATATTCTGGGAGAAATCTAGGCGTTTTAAACAATGAATTGAATATCCAAAAAAAATATCCAAATTAATTAAGACAGAATCTGATCCTAATTTTCTTCCCCTATTCGAATGTGAGTTTATATAAAGTTTATGTAGTCTTCATAGAATTTCCCAAGACAAGACAAAAAAAAGGGAAAAAAGCATTAAGAAAAAATGAGGTCAGTTTGGTCTGGTTTCTTTTCGGGAGTTGCAGTTGCTGTTGTTCTGGTTTTATTACAGAAGAAGGTAGAAGCTGGGCATGGAGATGGAGTAGAAGAAGAGAAGAAAGGGAAGAACTGTAACGTCTTCAGAGGGAGTTGGGTCTACGATCCGTCGTGGAACCCACCGTATGATTCGTCCACGTGTCCCTTCATCGGACAAGGATTTGATTGCATCAAAAATGGCAGACCTGATAAGCTTTATCTCAAATATAGATGGCAACCCACTCACTGCAACATTCCCAGGTATTTTTGTGTGTGTGTATGTATATATATATATATTGATATAATATGTTAGCTACTTCTGTTCAGTGCTACCCCTTTTCCTTTTAAAAATTAAATAATTAATTATTTATATTTTAGATTTTACACTCAGTGTTACTATTTTAAATAATTATTGATTTGATTGTTTTTTAAATGGAAATTTTAATCTTACATAATTTATGCATGATTTACCTAAATGATGCATTTGGAAGTAGTAGATAGAAAGTAACATTCCGCATATACACGTATTTATGAACTTTAGTCAGTAGCTCCTGCTAATCTTTGAAGATAAGAATAAATTAATTTCATTCTTTAATATGATTTTTAAAGTTTTTAAATATAATAATTACTTGGTTTTAGTTCTTCTTATTGCCCCAAAATATGTTTACTAAAACTAAATTTTAGTAAACATATTTCAGATGCTAATTTAATAATTTTGAAAATAAAATTATACGGTTCTAGATTCAACGGTAAGGATTTCTTGGAGAGAAACAGAGGGAAGAAGATCATGTTTGTGGGAGACTCCCTCAGCAATAACATGTGGGTTTCCCTCACCTGCATGCTTCATGCAGCGGCTTCAACACCCAACTACACTATAAATGTCCGAGGCTTGCTCTCTACATTTTCTCTCCCGGTAACACATTTTTCTGATTCATTTTTTGGAAAACTACCAAAAATTATCAATACGTATTATATAAATATCTTTCTGTATGTATATATATATATATATAGGAACATGAGATTTCGGTAATGTTGCTGAAAAGTGGGTTCTTGGTGGATCTTGCGTATGAGAAAATAGGGAAAGTCCTAAAGCTTGACCGCATTAGCACCGGCAATCAATGGCTTGGAGTTGATTACTTGATCTTTAATTCCTATCATTGGTGGGTTCATAGAGGCCGCTTGAAAACGTATATACTCGTCATCGACTCTTTATTCATTCTCTCTCTCTCTCTCTCTCTCTCTATATATATATATATATATATATACGTATGTATGTATACCATATATGTAAGGAACTAATAACATGTAAAATTGCAGATGGGACTATTTTCAAGTCGGAGAGAAAGTTGTCAAAGAGATGGATCGTATGGAGGCTTACAAGATTGCCATGACAACTTGGGCTAAGTGGGTTGATCAATACATTGATCTTTCAAAAACCCAAGTCTTCTTCCAAGGAGTTGCTGCAGTTCACATCAAGTAAGCCATATATATATATATATATATATTATTTTCACTATTTATAACAAATTAATTTTGTGTTACGTTGAATGATATGAGTATACAGTGGGAAGGAATGGGGAGAAGCTAAAGCAAAGAGTTGCATAGGGCAAACGAAACCAGTAGAAGGAAGGAAATATCCGGGACCTGGGATTGACGGAGAAGCCATTATAAGAAGAGTGTTGAACGAGATGAAGAATCCTGCCTATTTACTTGACATTTCAGTATTGACCCAGCTCAGAAAAGATGGTCATCCCTCCATTTATGCCGGCAGAGGTAAAAGCTTAAACGACTGCAGCCATTGGTGTCTTCCTGGTGCTCCTGATACTTGGAACCAGCTCTTTTATGCAGCTTTGATTTAGTTTAGTTGTGTTTAATTCATTTTCATCAACTTGGTTTCAATCCATTTTTATTCTCTGTCAGTTCCCTTTTCTTGTTCGTCTTATTAAATCTTTTACATTTCTTATTCATCTCATTTAGTTTTTTGTGTGTTTTTTTTCTTAAATTTTTATCATGTTATATATATATATGTATATTTTTACATGTGTGAATATATTTATACATGTAAGTGAGCACAGTGCAGCAGCAGAAAGCAGAGCACTAGGACAATAGACAGAAAATATGCACAGGCTTAATAGTGAAAGGTATTTTTTTTTTTTTTAAATTAAGACGATAAAATACAAAAAGCTTTTGATAACAATGAATGTCAGAATTTATTTTTAATAGGTTTAAAGTAAAAAATTAAAATATATAATTTTTAGAAATAAATTTAATTTTTATTAAAAATTTATATTTAAAATTTTTAAAATATAAAACTTTTATTTTATTTTTTTAAAATAATAGTACTTATTATAACTATTTTTACTGATTATTAAATGATTTTTGACTAAAATACTTTTAATAAACAACCATTTTAATTGATCAGAGTACAACTTATGGTAGAACAAGTTGTACTCATTCTAAATAACTACTAAATTTGTGTAAGAAAAAAAAAATGCAGATTGCCAGGGCAAAATACTGGTTAAAAAATAAAATAAAAAATCGTTTTATTGATATAAATTTTAACTAAATAAACGAAATCCAAACAGGCTTTGTGAATTAATTAGACAGAAATTTTATATATTAAAAAAATAGTGAAAATGTTTTTTTTTTTAATAAATTTTGATCGAATTAGATAAATATCTTAATCTTACACACACAATTTCTACTTTTTGCATTTAAATAAAAAATGAGAATGAAAAATTAAAAAATTTAAAAGAACAAAAATTAAAAAATAAAATTTTTGGATATATTTATAAATATTTATTTATTTCAAGCCCATTTTCATTTCCATGAATTTTTTAAAAATTATTTTCACTTTCAAATTTCATATATTAAATTCACCAAACCGGTTTACACTCAAAACCAGATCTAATTTAGGCCCATTGGGCCTTAGTTTTAGCCTAACACTTTATACCAGCCCCTGTATCCGACCCATTTAAGCCCTAAAAATAACAACCCGGTTCGCGTGATGGACCCAGAGGGACGACGTGAGGATTGACACGGGACCAGGTGGTCGAGCGCGGTTGTCAACAGAAGATTCAGGGACCGTTGCGTGAGAAGAAGCTGCTGCGGCTATAAGAAGCAAGAGAGCTGGAGCTCTAGGTATCTTTTGACGTGCCGGGATTTAGGCAAAAAGGGAGGTTTTTCTTCTTCGTTTTTAGGGAGAGTGCAGAGGGATATTGGGGAAACAGAGGAGGCAAGGGAATTTGTAAAAGGACTCTTGAGGGTGAAAAGCGGAGGACAAACCCAAGAGCGAGATGGGATGGCAGCGAGCGAAGTGAAAAGGAGAAAGTGATTGAGGGAAAGGAGGGAGATTGGGTAGCATCCGGAATCTTCAGTTCTGCTGATTTGCGATAAGGGGCTAGGGCAGCTGCATTTTTTTCCAGTTGGACCGGTAATGTAGAATCTTTTGTATATGTTTTACTTTGCAAATTAGCTTTGAGGACGAATGAGTTAGTGGTGAAATTTTGTTGTGTATAATATAGACTGGTTGATCTGCCATGTTATTCGAGGAAATGCATTTACAAAGTCATGTTGCGAGGATGTGGCAACGTCTTCTGTGTTCCCTTTTTAAGGTGGTTGAATGTATACAGTATCTGGTAGCAAAACCAGGGATGATAAATGAATATATATATATATATATATATGTATGGATTTTTCTAGCTCTTCTTTTTCTATGAATTTCTGCCTTGCTGATTAAGGAAAATCCAACTACAACGCGGAATTTCTGCAAATAGTTTTTTATCTCCTTTCACACCGAAATATTTTCTTGCTTGCTCTTTGTTGCACAGAGAAAGTTGTCTATGTTGAGCCATTGTTTTGGTACTCCTGCTACTTTAGAAGTGGTGGTTTCAGCAGAAAAAAGTCTGAGGGAGCCTGTGGAAGGAAACTCTGGCCAACTGAAGCATTGTCACATAAGGGAGTGCTCAGTCAATTCGGAGACCATGGAGCATAATGCTGGAATTTCTCGTTCCAATGTGAAGCAATCTTTGCAGTCCTCAATGCCTACCAAGGAAGGAAAAAGACCTAAAGAAAATAATCCAAACACCTCTACATTTATAAATCATGGTAAGTGACTCTTTCTTCAGATAAGCTGTAGTGTATTTTCTCTGTCATTTAGAGCACCAAAATGTTAGATGAGTATGTGCAATGTCTTAGAAAAAATGAAATTGGATTTTATATAAGATTGTTATTTCTTTATATTGGAATTAATGGATAAATCTTCTTGTATATGATTATTATTCTAAATTACCACTGGAAATGTATCCTACAAGAATGGTAATTAGGCAGGGTGGATGAGGCTTGTTTGGATCATTTTCCAGTTTTTATTGGCTCTGATCAGGTTATTTCGGGTGTAGGTTGATTAAATTAGGATCATTTTCATTTTGGGTATCATATGACAAAGGATTCGTTGCCTCACCTCCTGGTCAGGTTGGTTGATCAACGCCTAGATAATTTAGGTTTGGCTTAACCTAAGTTTATTATCCCTTTTAGTTTTATTTGTAATTTTGATACATGGCTTAAATTTTAAGGTTTTTTGCTTTTATTTATTTTTTTCACTTCACCATTTAAAAATGCAACACAAATTGATTAAAATGTGTCTTCACACATAGATAATTAGATGTTTGTTATTCAATCATTTACTATTTACTCCAAGTGTGTAAATAATACAATTTATGTATTTAACATGTTAATTCTTAATTAAATTAATTTTTTTGATAATTAATTCTTAATTAAATTAATAAGTCTTAGATAAAAGTGTTAGACTTGGTTGAGCACCAATCAGGTTCAGGTTGTAAGAGTTGGTTGGCTTTTGAGTGTAATCTCAAAATCTGTGTTTGTTGTTATATTGCTTTCCTAGTTCTGAACCACCTCGATAGTTTAGTGAAAGAGGCCCTCCCACTTTTGTTGTAGATGTAAAAGCAACTCCACCACTAACCTTGCATTCAGTAATGTCACATGCTCCTCTTTTATGCCTGACTAATGGAGGATCATCTCCCTTTCCAAAAGAGATTTTAATTCACTTATGGTCTGTTTGGTTCAATTTCTATTCTATTTTCAACCTATTCTTCAATCTCGATGTCTTGATATGTAGAAATGGATAATTATTTTCATTTTTTAATTCACAATTGGCAATTCCATTCTTATGTTGAATTCCATGATTAAAGACTTCTACTTCTACCTACTGTATCGAGTTTTGGTCTTTATACATGAAAGAAGACTTGACTTTATTTAAAAAAAAAAAAAATGAAAATAAACGTGGCCTTATAGGCCTAGGAACCAGAATTGAATATCATCTGAATCTTGATTTTACATTGATCGCACTTTTTTTTTGTCGGTTTAATTTTTCTTTCTCATTGGTGGAACTAGGTGATATCTTAGCTTTTATTGGTATACTCAAGAAAAATCTTCGCTTTTAGTAGTAAGATGAGGGGGCCTGTTAGAATCTGTCGGATGAATGGCACTATATTGGTCTTTGTTTAAGTGCTCCTACTCTCGGCATTGGTTTTTTGGTTGTCCAAAGTAGTGGAACTTATAATTGGCTCAACTTGAGGCAATGCCTCTTTGGCCATCAAAAGAAGAAAATGAGGCAATGCCTTATTGGTTTGTTTTGTTTACTATCTTGTTATTGCCCTTTTTGCCTACTGTTATGTGCAATATAATGAATTATTTTTTATCCTTCGGATTAAAAAAAACAAGAATGTTACTTGCAAGGGACGAGAGGGTGCCATCCATGTATAAAAGCTATGTAGACAAAAACCTTTATCAAAGTATTTATGACACCCCTCAGACCTGCTCTCATAAGAAGAGTATTGAGGATATAAGCACAACTTGGTCAATTGTGCAATAAATATGTAAATTATGACTAACTTATGCATTATGGACTTTAGTCCAAATTCCAATTCTGTGGAATAAGAGCAGTAATAAAATACAAATAAGATAAAGATTTGAATGAAAATAATATTTTTATTTTTGGGTGATTCTTTGTCCAATTCAAGTTGGGAGTTTATATAACCCTTCCTTAATGGGTAAGAATTTAAGTTCATGGCTGTGAAATTGAGAATATGAGTGAAGTTGATCCAGGCATGTATTAAGTGTGTAATTTATAACTAACTTATAGGTATGAAATAGGTCTAGAATTAAATAAGAATTTAATGTATTTCAACCAAACGTAAGGATTTGGAACCATTGATCTCTAGTTCGAATATTTGGATGCAGTGTTGTTCTGGCTTTCTTTTCTTTTCCCTTCTTTTTGTTGGCTTAGGAATGTTTCTTATCCTCTACATTTGTACTCCTTTCTTCTCTATTGGATAATCAAAATCCCCAAAAAATCAATATTTTTATTTCTTTCCAAATGATCCAAAGATGGCCATGGGGAGCAAAACTTTCTGAGAAGGTTTGATTGCTTAATCCCACAGCCTTCTGTCCTCTGAACATGAAAATAGTAGATTGACTGGCATTCATCCTCATGCAGGAAGCATCGATTAACCAGAATTCTACTGTTCATCAATAGTCAGAACTTGGTATTTTCTAAGTGAAAATGTAATACAACATTATTATCTGCAGATGTAATACTTTTTTTTTTTGAAATAAAAGAGAAATATTATTATGCACAAAGATATCAAGGGAGTACCATTCCAAAATACAAAATTAACAGTCGATCAGGTGGTCTATAACAGCTCCAACATCTTCCCAATAAGCTATGTCATGACCATTCAAAATAGACCTGCAAATGTAATACAACATCATTATGATATCGAAAAAAAGTTGAAGTATATTCCTAATTCTGGCCCTCTCTTATTCTCATATAACCTTTTCTTCATCATCTATCCCTTTTTCCTCTCTTTTTTCCCACCATTGTTCGTCTCTCTTACCCTTCTATTTCCTTCTCTTTCTACCTTAGAGACGTTCTTTCAGTACCATACTGGGGAGTGGCTCACGGACTTTGATGCGCATTTTTAGGCCAATTTCAATTGGACTCCTCTATGACATGGGCTTTCTTGTATCCTTATGTATGAAAAAGTGAGTGACAAATGCTTGAGTTGGGACCGCTTTCATTTAATTTCGGTCTTAAACTCTCTCCCACTTAGTCACTGTGGTATCTAACGTTTCCATCTTAGTCATTGCTGGAGGAAGGAGATAATTTTTTTTTGAAAACAAGCAAAGAAGGATTACATGAAATGACATCATAAAACAACAGTTGCTGTTCAGTCAGAAAATAATACTGCAACCATGGAATATAGTTGTCAGCTGACCTTAAACAATTATTCATATGATTCGGCAATGATTGTGATGGCCCCATGCTTGTAAATAAGAAAATTTGGATTTACAATTGCAAAGACAGCTTGTTTGTTATGTCGGAGAGATGTTTTAGTACTTAGATGAAAATGGGAACATCAGCCAAATAAGAGATTAAGTATGGATTGTTGTCTGTGAAAAAGAACTTCTCCAATCTCCGTACAGCGTAGGATATTTAATATTGCCCTGCCATGGTTCATTTTTTTTTCTCTTTCCTTTTCATCATATAGTTTACAATTTTTACTCCAAAAAAATCACATAATTTTCTGTTTCTTTTGCTCTTCTTGAGCATAATCTGGCTGGGTATGTTATGCAGCTGCAATTGCATGGCAGGAGAGTAGAAAAAAGTGGGTAGGGGAACAACCACAACAACATAGAATGGCAAAGGATCCAATTATAAGGTACTGTTGTTTAAGTGAAGTTATTTTTATGTTGTAATTTGTTATAATGGTAGGAGATTTGATATCTTGCACATGATAAAAATTATCTTGTCTCGAGTAGGTTTTGCGCTTGGAAAATATTCTGCAGTTTTTCATTTCATACATGAACTAGTGATTGAGTAGAAAAAGAATTGGAAATGGATTGAATCAAATGAGCTTTATGAAAGCCAAGTAAGAAAAGTACCTGGATTCTGAAATGTCAGATAACTTGGTTTATGTGAAGAAGATGTCATTACTTCATATTCAGTAATAGTGTTAGAGTCCGTATACACAGTGATCAAGGATATTGTGGAATGTTGATCTGTTGGAGCAAGCTTTATCATGAAACGATTAACTATAGCCATCCTTCAGTCAGAATTTCCTGGATTCTCTATTTCTTAACCAGTAAATTTTCCATATTTATTGTCTTAGATTAACTATAGCCACCCACAGTGTAGGTTCTAAAATACAGGTAGCTCTCTTTTTGCAATTCAAGAAAATGTAAAATGTATGTTGAAGCCCTATATCTTAGTAAAAATTCCATCAAACTTTTTTTGAGGGGACGGAAGTAGGGATAGGGGCTTGACCTCATAACCTCTTAGTGGATGTGGATGCTTAGCATTAAGCTTTTGGCCCTAACATCCAGTTAAATCTGATATAGCAAAAGAGATGTAGTTAGATATAATGTGGATGCTTAGCATTAAGCTTTTGGCCCTAAAATCCAGTTAAATCTGAAATAGTAAAAAAATGTAGTTAGATATTAATTTCCTCAGATTTATGCCACTACTTCATCCAAATAGATCACTCTTGAAGAAATGTACAGAGGAGGGAAGAGTAACAGGGATTGGACCAGTGAAGAGTGCAAGAACTTGCTGAAACTACTGGCTACAGTATCTATGAACGGGAAGAGGGATCAACCTTTATGGAAATTGACTATAATTACCTGATTAAATATAATGAGCTTTGTTTTTAAGTATCAGTAGCATGAGACTGCTGCTGACACTGTGGATAGTTGTAAAAGCAAAGTTTGGGGGGAACCACAATGATAAAGTTGAGACAGCTGACAATAAAATCTTCACACATAAGAAACATCCAAATCATACTATCAAGCAACATCTCCCAGAGATGCCCAATATGATTAAGGAGATGAAGTTAGCCCAACACGCTCTTACTGACGAGCAGCATCCTGGTGATTGGTAGTATATGATTGTTAACCTCACCCCATAATGATGGAATCAAGACATTTGATGATCTAGCTCCTCATGTTCACTTAGAAAATGAAGGTTTGGGATAACCCACTCAATGCATTTGTTGCAGAGGCTAGCTCTAGGAAAGCATTGGGCTTTAATCCCAAGAAGAACTTGAAATGTGGTGGAAAAACGAAGAGAGCCAAAGAAAGGTTCAAGAAGAAACAGGATGGAAAGATAAGGAACAAGGTGTCCACTAAGTATTCTTTTTATAATTCTATAAATGATTAGCTCTTTATTGCTTCTAGTAGCAATAAAAACATAGATATGAATGTTTTATATACTAGACTAGACCATGTTGAGCACGACAAAATAAACAATTTAGCCAAACAAGGTTTATTGGGTTCTATTCAAAAATTGAATTGCCACTATGTGAAAAGTCTTATGGAAGATAGATTGACTGGAAAACCATTTTGTACGGCTATTAGATTCAAGAAGTCTTTGCAACTCAAACACTCAAATATTTGTGCAATGAGTGTTAGACAAGAAATGGGGTATCCTATTGTATTACATTCTAGATGATTTCATGAGATGTGGTCATTTGTATTTATTATTTCACAAATCAGAAGGTTTTTGTTGCTTCAAAAGGTCTGTAATAAAAATTGAGAATCAACTCGAGAGATATTTAATCTCTAGTTTATCTATTGTTGAGAAATGAATCAATTACTTCAGAATTCCCTGCAACTTGCTGGTCCTAATAATTGGGATTAATGACTATTAATGAGGGGACTGCACCAACATAAAAGAAGGCCACCATCAACCCTGATCCAATAAACGATCAATCTCTCTTTCAATTTAGTTTCTAACAATGCTTTAAATTTTTATGCAATCTAATAATGTCTTAATTAGTATCTAACAACACTGGTTTTCTCCATTCATTATTTACGACAAGGGTCAAACAACTTTAGATAATAACTGCAATAACTTTCTGTTGTAGCTGGTCAACGACATATGAAGAGCTCCTTTCGTCGAATGAGCCTTTCTCCAAGCCAATCCCCTTACCAGTAAGCATGTTATTATAATCTATGTACAAAGGTTAGATGTATCATTTTTGGTCATCCGACTCTGCGTCTTTCATATTGTACATACTGAGATTTCATTTGTTATTGCTTTTCTACTGAGTTTCTCCTTAAGTTAATCACCAGCTGAAACAAACAACATTACTTCTCTGTTTAACATGATAAAAATGTTAAGTTAGTCACAGGAAATATTTGCTTCAACTGTATATTTCAAAAAAATATAAATTGCTTCAATTGTAAAGTGCTAAAGAAAAGGCAGCGTAAGTTAGTCCCTGGGAGTGGTGCTTGAGAATTTTTGTGCTTTATATGCATATGGAAATATAATCTTAGATTGAAAGACAGTTTTCTTGGGAGAACATTTAGAAACTCTTTTGGAAGCATGGTGCTTATTTGGATGCTTTCTTCCCCTGAAAAGAAAAAGCTGCTTACTTTTATTTGATTGACTATTGGATTGTGCAGGAGATGGTAGACTTTTTAGTTGATATTTGGCAAGACGAAGGCCTCTATGATTAGATCACTGGCCGAAACATTCGAATTACAGAATTACAATGATGATTTGTCGATGTTACTGTATTCTAGCCAAAATATTGTCCGGTTTATATTAGCTGATTCTGTCATCCAGTAGGAAAGAGAGGCCTTCATTTGTCTTCAAGCTGGTTAAGTGGCGATATCTGTTTTTAGAATTATGATATCGCATTTTGAGGAGCTTGATAATTGGTTCTAGTGAATATTCACTGTATCCAGATTGAACTGACGCTTGAATGAGGTTAATAAGAAAGATGATATACAGTTTTCTAAACATATATTTATCTACGTTTATTGATTAGACATGGTTTGTTTTCAAGTCAAGGATGGGCTTGAATGGATGTCGGGAAGGGTCGGGTAGATTTTTTCATTCTATGCCACTGATGTTCAGTTGAAAACTGCTTTGAACTTGTGGTTGTGGGTAAGCATACTCCTCGGCAATGCTCGGTATATACTGGGTTTTATTCTGTCTTGCTCAATGTTAGATGTTTGAAATCATAGTTGTTAGAATCAGATTTAATGATCAACCCAATTGGGGGTTGGAAACTAGTTTTTTAATTGGTATATGTATTATAGAATATGAAATTGGTGAAACTAGTTTTTTCTTTTATCATCTTTTTATTTATTTATTTATTTATTTTGCTATTTTTAAGAGAGATTATTTTTTTGTGTATTTTCTGATATTTATGTTTATCAATCATTAACAACTATATGCATATGCATGTAAATACATAAATTATGAATCATATCTAATATATTTATATTTGCAGATCTTTTACAAATTAGAAAAAATAATTATATCTTATACTCCGTGAAAATTGTTTTATGTTCTACTAATAATATATTTACTTTTTTATATTTAAAAAAAATGTAAGTATAAACTTTACAATTAGAACACTAAGTATAATTGAAAATATAATTGTAATATATCATTCTACTCTTATCAATGATACAACACAGTTTAAATTCTATACAAAATAGAATACTAATTAAACTAATTTAAAATTAGATGCATTAATTTAAGTGGGCGGATCAGTATAAACACTAAGATTCATACTAATACAATTTCTGTTTTTTTTTTCACTAAAATAAAATAATTATTTAAAAACTAAAACAGAAAATATTAAAAATAGAAAAATAAAATAATTTAAACTATTATCATTATGTTTTATTTATTAAAAAGTGGGTGATGATTGTATTTATCGTAGTTACAAGGTAGAGCATAAGAATTCGTTTGAATTCTCACTATACCTCTGTTTTCTGGTCCATCCAAGTTTGAATTCTCTCTCCATATCTGTGTCATCTGATCTGTGTTTTCCTCTCTATCGAAAATGGTGGTGCTGAAGAGACGAAGACGAACTGAGAAACCCTGCCAAGAAACCCAAGAAAGCGCCATTAAAGATGAAGGCTTCAGGTGCTTTCTTCATTCCCTTCGAAACCTCTTTGGAGAAGACACCCATTTCATCTCCCGAGTACAATTCCACCGGCGCGGCTGACAGTGTTGGCGGCTGGGATGACACGTACTTTCGTATATAGCCAGATAGGGGTTTTGTTCTAGTTGGGACTAAACCCTAATTATACATGTAATTTGACATGATAATGGATGAAAGTTACAATTGGTTCCATCCTGTTATGTTAGTTTTCTGATCCCATTGCAGTTGAATTAGAAAAGGTCATTTCAAATGTAAAATAATGTTCCCACCCCAAGGAAATCCAACAATTGACACTGCTTTTTGATACAAAGATTGCAGCTTTGACTGGGTTGAAAAATGTAACTAGATCTTGTCCTTCCTCTAAGGTAAATAAATTAAATTGTTCTTAGTTTCGTATTCAACAAGAGTTATTATCCTTTAAACAACTTACACCTATAAGACAAATTTCCGACTCCAATCCATCTGAAGGACCTGGATGGCAGATAGATTTTGAGCACATCTACAAAAAAATGCAAATACATGAGCAGCAAGCTCTTCCAATTAAGAGCTAAAACGTCATATTCAGACCCAACAGGACCAAAACCATATGAGTACTGGAACTATCTGGCGAAATGCGGATTTTTTGGTGTCCCTCTAGCCAGTTCTGCTGCATATCTATCTCTGCTTCTGTATCCTCTTGTCCCTTATGGGCAGTTCAATAGGCTTCTGTGCTTCATGTGGATGGTCTGGGCCTTTGTAAACCTTTAGGTGGTTGAAAAGTGCCCTACCAAGCTGCAAGAAAAACACTCTTATCTTCGTCAAGAGTTGGACAATAAGCAAATGTGGGCAGCAAGATGAAGAAACATCCACCATTATCTCCCAAGCAATAGGCCATCTAGGGAACAGAGCAAACATGAAGCCCCAGAGGTGACACAATTAAAGCAGGGAGGTGGTATAGATTTGGATAATGTAGAGACCAATATATTAAGAAAAAAAAAAGAACTCATTAATCAGCAATGAGTTCATGCAATTTATCTTACTAATGAATAGTTCTGTACCTGCACAAATACTGCTGTTGATAATAGCATAATTTTTGGACCATAACATCAAAACTAGATAGCATGAAAGACAGATCATTGCGTAGCTAATGTCCCCTAACTTCCTGCCTCAGTGGTCAAGGACATACATTAGGATGAAGAGTCATTTCATATATACTGAGTTCAATTCTGAAGGGGAGTTCTGAGGCTAAGGCATCAGTAATAGGGCTTACATTGGAGAGAATATCATTCCAATATGGCCTTGGCTTTGGCAAATTCTTAGTCATAATAGTAAAGAAAAAAAAGGGATCATTCCTTGATTGATCCTACTCAGCTTCTTACTGCAACAATAAAACTATCAACTTAATGGCTTCTTTAAAATGGCGGTCAAGTATTGAACCAAACTTCTCATCCCAAAAGATGCCAATTGCAAGTGTTATCAGTCCCTATGACCTAGTCTCTATCTTGTTTCTTACTTATTAACTTAATTCGTTAGCCTTTTTTCGTTTTTGTAAGCTTTAAACCTATCCCAGGTACTTGCTGCCTTCTATAGACCAAATTCCTGCACTCTATTACTCTATAGCCAAATTCCTGCACTCTATTGCTGCCTTCTGTAGCATTAAAATTTTTGCCAACACTTTTTACTTTTCTCTAGAAATCACCTTCATCAACCATTCCTGATTCATAATACTGTCCAGCTGTACTGATTTTATGTTTATCTCTTTTTCTTTTCTTCCTTTGTTGGCCTAAGAGCTGTTTCTTATCTTCTGCTTTTGTACCCTTTTCTTCTCTCTTTAATAATATGTCTTTTTTCATTAAAAAAATGATAGTATGGAGGCCAAGTGAGCCAATAAGGTCTCCACACAAATGAGACATATCCCAGAAAGTAAAAGAAACGACAATATACTCGACTTAGATAGACAGGTTCCCAACTTTATTGTGGAAAAAAGTTAACCAATAGAGCCCCACAAAACCTATTCCAGTAAGAACTATTTTTGTCTACTTGAGCAACATAGTTCTCGTGGATCACAACCAGCTTAAGCCCAATGCTTGGTTCACAGAATTAAGAAATTGGATAGACTGTGAATATGTAACAATTGATGGTAAATTAGAAGCATAAACAATTGTCTAAAGAAATGGCACAAAGAATACTTCACTCTTTCCGATGGATCAACATGAAACCAGAAGCATTGACCACAGATTCCTCTCGTCAACCATAAATATGACGATAAAACATGCATAACTTGAGAACTCACCCTCCCTTTAGGAAGCATGCCACGTACAGCATGCTCAATAATTCTTTCTGGAATTCTCTGCTGTAGCTGGTTAAATGTTTCCACCTTCATACCACCTGGTCTTCCTGAATGCCTCCTGTAGAGCTTTTGGGTCCTCTTCTTCCCCGATACAGCAACCTTTTCAGCATTCACCTTTACATACAAATACATAAAAAAATCTTAGAATTACCCTTATAACGATCCATAATATGTAAAATTAAAAAGCTTCAAGAAAACCAATTTCATCTTTTGGTGATTATTATTAGACCACCATGCGGTCAAATTATAAATATGCATAATAACATGAAGGCAGTAGCTTAGGGGCCTGATCAAAATAGCCAAGTAACATAAATCCAAAAAACAGATTTTTTGCACAAAGGTGCATCATAGCACAATAGACACCATGTCCCTGATATACAGAGATACAGACATGCACAATGGCATCTGGAGATGGAAACACACACAAAGATTCCTAAACATGCTATCAAGTAAAATCAGTCATGAGAGAGGAAAGCACATACCACAATTACAAAAGCCCCCATGTCCACACTAGGAGTATAGGTGGGCAAATTTTTTCCTCGGATATGTATGGCAATTGTAGAAGCCAGTCTTCCCAGAATTTTGTCCGTCGCATCAACAACGTACCATGGTTTATCTGTGTTCACATGATCTGCAGCCTTCGGATACCACGTGTTATTCCAGATGTCCTGAAAGCAAAAAACATAAGTTCAATTTATAGAAAAAAATGAGAATTATTAAGAGCAAGTAGCATATGTCCAAAGTGTCCGGACTTCAATGCTCAAAACAATCTTGCATCCATAATTTGCTTAAAGATTGTAGTCATTTATGGTATAAACAGGATTAAGCAAAGTGAACATCATTGCATTGGTCAATTAAACATGAAACAGATAAAAAAATAATTTTTAAGTTGAAAATGGTCAAAACAATCTTAGAGTAAATCAGCAAAATAGAGAATCATGAAATCCAGCTCCAGGCCACTCCATACACCAAAAACTATGATAATGTTCACCAAATAATATATTTATTTACCACCTCCAAAATTACTTTTAAAAAATGCCCATAATTGAAAATCAATGAAATGCAGTCCAGAATGGGTAAGAAACATGAACTACATTTCTGAAACTCCCAAACAATAGCTTCTCAATTGGACAGAAAACCTCATAAACTATCATAATTCATGTAGTCAACCTTCAACCAGGTGCTATAAAATCAAACAATTAGGGCTATGATTTGTTTTTTTCTTTTTTCCTTTGATAAAGAAAAGATATTGAACCCCACATTTTTCTTGTAAAAGAAATATTCAGATACACCACCAAGTTTTTCATCAATACCCCACATTTTCTCAGCAAGCAAACAGCAATAAACAAATACAAAAAGACGGAGGAAAGGAGAGAAGGGAAACGAACAATTACCGGACCATCAGCTTCATCCTCTTCGAACATCCACCGCTGGTTTTCCGGCACCAGAGAGAGATCCTGATCCTGGCACTTAATCAGAAAACTCTTCCGGTTATCAGCAGAAAACGTGGTAGGTACCTTTGGTTTTGAAAACGCTACTGAGAACCCAAGAAACGGGCTCCTCCTGCCTGCAACGGCACTGGTTTTGTTTAAGAAAAAAAATGATTTTGTTGAACAAGAAGAAGATGAAGACGTCGCGAAACCGACTGAAGAGGAAGCACAAACAACCGCCATTTCTCCTCGGTTCTTTTCTCTCTCGCTCTGGCTTTACTGTGTTCAGCTCTGTTTCGTTCTCGTTTAGTGCTGACTGGATAAGATGGATGGGCTCGCTGTGGCAGAAGTTTTGAGAGTGGCTGAAAATAAACTTTCATGACAGGGGTAAAACAGTAATTCGGTGACATTAATTGGGTTGGACCCGAATCCGATTGGAGATCCGAAAACAAGATCCACTTTCTCATCTTTCTGTCTGGTCTTCTTTGTCAACCAGGAGCTTAAACAACCAAAAAAATGGCACTTTCAGTACTGCTTTACATCGATCCTCGTCCAACTCTTTCTCTCCAGCCCCTACAACCATCCCTTTTTTCTTCACGACCCAGGAAGGCCCATATCCTTTACCGTAACCCTAACCCTAACCCCAAAACTTCCAAAATGTTACTCCAGAGAGCCAACGCGGTTCCACTGCAGGGAGCAGTATCGGAGGCGATGAACCTTATTCAATCTGTGCCGCCCACTTGGCAATCCGCCTTACTCAGTAACATCCTGATCTTCGTTTTGGGGTCCCCGATTCTGGTCTCTGGGTTATCTCTTTCCGGGATTGGCGCCGCTTTCTTGCTCGGTACTCTCACTTGGCGCGCTTTTGGATCGTCTGGTTTCCTTCTCGTTGCCTCTTATTTCGTCATTGTGAGTTTAAACTATACAATGCATGCGCCTATTTTGTGATGGAGATCAGTTCATCCTCAACTTGTTTGGTTTTAATATTGTTTGATGATCTTGTAACATGTTAGGGAACAGCAGCAACAAAGGTGAAAATGGCTCAGAAGGAAGCACAAGGAGTGGCTGAGAAGAGAAGAGGGAGGAGAGGGCCTGGTAGTGTAATTGGTTCCAGTGCTGCTGGTTGTGTTTGTGCTTTTCTTTCAATCTTTGGAATAGGAGGTCAGGCGCTTTCTCAGCTTTGGCTATTAGGGTTTGTTGCCAGTTTCTGCACTAAGTTGAGTGACACTGTTTCCAGTGAGATAGGCAAGGCATATGGCAAAACAACGTAAGTGGATGCATCTTAATCTAAACTGGAAGTTCATCATAATCACTTACTAGTGCTTAAAATGAATGGGGAATTTGAGACTAGTGGCTTGTTTTATGTATTTTTAGTGTCAATGTGGTGTTTTCTGTTAGAAAAGAATCATTTTGTGATGGAATCCTTAGGTTGTTTAGTTGGCTACTGTAGTTGAAGAAGACCATGAGAGGGTTACCCAAAAGCTTTGAAGCATGCTTCTATTTGAACTGGTAGCCAAACCCTATTGATATCAGAAGAACTGCAGCAACTATTTAAGTTTCATTTCATAAAGATAAAACAGGTATATGTTGTTTGTGTAATTACCTGTAATTAATCAATACTCAATTCATCCCTTAAAAGAGATGAAGTCATTATTGTTTACGAGTACCTCAAATTGCCTTCTTTATTTCACATTTTTCTGTAGATCCTTAAAGTTATCAGATTATGGAAGTGGGAAAATTTGGATAAACTGAAAGAATTAATAAGTGGAGTTAAAAGGATTGGTAACTTCTTACATTCTGGCAAGATAGTAACTTAAACTCTTAGATTTTTCTGTTGTATATTTTGTTTAAGTACCATGCCCTAGTGATCTTTTGTGCTTGGTGGGCAGTGTATCTACCCAGGTGCTTATTCTCATTGCAGTTTTCCACTTGTCATGCCCATGTATCCTACATTGTCTAATAAATCAGTTCCTGATGCATAATGAGCAGGTACTTGGTTACAAATTTTAAGGTAGTACCAAGAGGAACTGAAGGGGCTGTCAGTGTTGAAGGAACAATTGCTGGATTTTTGGCATCAGTTCTTCTTGCTAGTATTGCTTGTCTGATGGGCGAGGTATTCATGATTACATTTTCCAATTGTGTATTTCTATTAGTATACAGTGTAGATTTCTATTAGTATTTACTTCAAATTACTTCCCTTATTTAAGTTAACTTGCTTCCTTATCCTTAGAATAATAAAAGTTTTTTTTTCTTTTTACAAAAGAACAAGGAGCAAATTTTAGGGACCATGAGCTATGTCCTAAGTAATAACAATAAACCCTAAGCAAGTACATCCTGAGCAGGTTGAATTGACAAACGAGCTAGATCCTAGCCTCCTACGAGCAGAAGTTTTGTGGATGCAATAGATTTTTTAACTCAGAGAAAGCTCTTCGCCTTTTTGTGCATAAATTAAGCTTCATGTATATTTGTTTTCCATGGATTTATGAGAAATTTCACAAAAGAACGTTGGTTCTTCAATCTAACAGTTATTTTACGGAAGTGCTAAAAATTATTGTAGACATTGTGATCTAGATTAGTAGTTGGCATCCTTACATCTCAGTTTCAGTACCCATCAACAGATGACCATTTGAATATCTTGGTATTTATTAAAGATTGTTTTCTCTGTTTTGTTGTGAAACAGATAGATGCTCGTAAGGCAGTTATATGCGTAATAGCTTCTCAGATTGCTAATCTTGGTGAGAGCATAATAGGTGCTGCACTTCAGGATAAAGAAGGATTTCGATGGGTAGGCAACCATTTTGTTGGTGGCTTGGTCTTTGATATTTCTGTTAGATTGTGGTATTTCTTTGCCTTTTGCTTCCTCATTCTAAGCAACTGGAGGTGGAGAAGTGTATATTGGGTTGACCATTGCATATCAAGGGTGCTGGTAATGGGGGAGGAAGGAACCTTGAATTAAACTCATCATGCAAATCTCTGTTAAAACTTTTGTTGGTTTCACGTTGGCTTATTTGAGACATGCAACTAGTTCTGACCTCACAGAAGAAATTGACTGAGGCATGAGTATATGTTGATGCGGGGTTGATGCCTGCATACTTATCGCTGCCTCAAAATTTTGAGAGGAATGATGATTCATTACAGCATTGAACTCGTGCTTATAGAGTCTCTTGTATCTATCATCTCTGTTGGCTAACGAATTGATTTGCTGGTCTGATTAGTTTTTCAATGTGATAAATTCTGCTTCTTACTTACAAATCCACTATGCCATGCAGCTCACCAATGATGCTGTAAATGTCATCAACATATCTGTGGGAAGCATTTTAGCAGTCTTGATGCAAAAAGTTGCCCTTGGAAACTGAAGGATGCAGACCTAGTTCATGCTGCACGCTTTATCATGATCTCCACAAAAATGGATGACAAAGAATATTAGTTTTGAATTTTTCATAAAATTCATAACAGGCTTAAATTTGATCAATTCTTGGCTGACTGTTGTACTAATGAATTTTAATGTGGAGAAAAGGGGAAAAAATATATATCTTTTACTTTCTTGTCAATTCTTTTGTAAGTATATTCTAGTTATACTGCCTGTAAAAATGCACAGTACTTGTATTTTTACCTATACACGTTCTCAAATATTCATTGCCTAGTTTGGAAGTTAAAGACATTATGATCATACAAAGAAAATAAAGATGATTGTAACTTATCTTTACAGGCATGCTGCCAATGAAGATGTTTACCATGTAAACACAACAGAAAGTTGTGATCTTAAACTGATTAAACGAGGAGGTTAGAACATGAAGATGTCAAAGGAGTCTGTAATAAGCTATCTGCTGTAGCCGACAATTTTTGCTAATCTTTATTACAAGGAGACCAGTTTCCATACTTCATGCAACCCATGAAAAAACATGTGAACATCTTTAATGACATAACAATACAGATTAGTCATCAAATATCCTTGAAAATGGTTTTCCCAAATGTGGGTGCTCATAATTAATGCCATAAATAACTTCTTGTGACAGTTTCCTTCAATTATATCTCTGGGTTTATGCAGAGTTCTTCCAAACCTCATCCTGATTGAGTGTTACAGAAACTACTCTCAACAAATTGGAAGGGACCCATAAAAACCCAAACCCACAAAACAAATTTACTTCACCAGGCAAAGCAAACGGCCAAATTTGAGGAACCATAAGCACCTCGTTTTCAACGCCCTGCCAAACATGCACCCATAATCAAACCCTTCCACAATCCATTGCCAGAAAACCATGTCTTCTTCCTCCCAACAAATTTTCTTTACCACCTCTTCTGATGGACCCATCACTGCCTACGACGCCTCATCCACCACCGCCATTGCTCGTTTCATCACCAGCCGCTCTCCCCGCCGAGGCCTCGCCGTCGCCGGCAACAAAAGTAACACCTTTATTGCTGTCTCACATGTATCCTCAGCCAGTCCCTCTGGTTCTATCCACCTTTACAATTGGCATTCATCTACTTTTCTCCATAGCATTCCTCTCCCTGAACCTGTTGCTCCACTAGCAGCCACTTCTGATGGTTTCTTCTTGTTTGCCGGCGGACTCTCTGGTCATATCCATGTCCTTTCCATCCCTTCCGGAGACTTGCTCTCTTCATTTCCTGCCCACAAGAAGCCTGTATCTTGCCTCAACATCAGCCAAGATGGGTCTGTTCTGATTTCCGGCGGCGATGATGGCACCATTGCTATTCTCCCAATTTTCCAACTCGTTGAGATGTCGTCAGGTGATGAGAATCCTTCGAGTGATTTTATGTCGATGAAGTTTGTTGCTCATGATGATTCTGTGACACACATAATTTCCAGTATGTCAACTTTCGTATCTTCCTCAATGGATTCCACATGTAAGCTCTGGAGTCTTTTTAATGGAACCCATCTGCAGACTGTGAGTTTCCCATGTGGAATTCTGGGGTTGGATTTAGACCCAACAGAGACCCAATTCTATGCTGCTGGTTTTGATGGATCAATTTACAAAGGGTGGGTGAAATTTGGGAGAAAAGCAGAGAGAAGCCATGAATGGATCATGTTGGGTCAAAAACACAGCAGCACAGTGGTGTCAGTGGTGATGACTAATGAAGGGAAGAATATGGTGTCTGCATCAGAAGATGGTTCTCTGTTTGTTTGGGATATTGAATCAGGAGAAGTCATAAGGGTTCTTGGAAATGACATGGGTGGGATCAGTGACATGGTTATGGCTAACGGAAAAGCTCATGGGCTAAATATGGGGAAAGAGGGGAGCCATGATTTAGGGTTATCAGCTTTGGTGCTGAGCAGGAGATTGAGAGATTCATTGGAGATGGAGGAGGTGTTAATGGGGGCAGCAAAAGACAGGAGAAGAGCAATTGAGATGCTTGAATCTGCAATTACGATGTACCAGAAGCTCCTTGAACTGATTCTCAAAGAAGTCAAAGGGGGAAATTGCAGCAACACTGACAAGGAAAAAGACGAAAAAGACAAAGATGACATGTAAATTTCTCTTTACTGTAAGAAATCCAAACAGAGTTGTGCAAGAAAGTTATGCTCTTCGGCCTTTTTTTTATAAAAAATTTATGCCCTTCGCGTGGAAAGTGAAACTTCTTTTTTGGGCTTTTCAAAACCATAAGAAATAAATGGCCATATGTAGCATTCACCATCCAGAATAGTTTATTATGTCAATGAACTTCTTCTATAAATGATTGTTGGAGCTGGATAAGGTATTGATAAGTGAAAAATAATGTCAATGCAACATAACGCACTCTAGTGCCTTGATCTCATAGGTACATCTCTTGATGGCTTGTTGTAGACGAAGCAGTTAAGAATGAAAATTGGGCCAACTTGGATGTTATTTGTCATAATTTGAATGGAAAAAGGTTATCTATATAAGCATAAGGAGGATCCCATCTCCAATTGTGTTAGGGTTATAGAGACTTCAGCTCTATAATTTATATATTATTAAAAATTAACTAAATAATATAACGTGTATAAATTGATGATATGTGATATGATCATTGATACTGTTAGTAGTAACCGATAAAAATGGACTAATTCAAATAATTTTTAAAATTATATGAATTATTTTGACGCAAAATGTTACATACATATTAAATTGAACGAAAGAAGTATATGGACAAAAGATATGTATTTAAGTTATTATCTTTCTATTCAATGTCTTAAACTAATATTTGCAAGTTATAAAAAGCATTTAAATGATATTATCATATATATTTTTTTATAGAAAAAGACTAAGTCATATTTTTTAACTCATTATAATTACCTTAACTAAAGGAACTATGATATCATAAAATATTTATTTTATCTACAAATGTCATGATTCACTGAGATGATATCTAACTTTATCACTATAATTTTGCTAACACACTAATAATTTAAAATTTTAACTTTATCTGAATCATATAGGTAGATTATTTACTCTATTTCACCACCATCTATATTATTTACTTAAAATAATTTTAAAGCATGTAATAATAAAATATATAAAAGTTCAAATCCCTATCATGGATTTCGAGCATTTAGGCTAGCAATAATAATGTAAATAATAATGAAAGAGTTAAATATTACATTCCTTGCATGTTTACTTAGAATGCCCAAATAGACGCTAAAAGAATGTTCGAAACTAAAACGAAAATAACACTACAAAGTACTCAATAACTTTGATTTGCGATTGGCAAAGTGGAAAGAGATGATTGCTTAGCTAGTCTCTTATTGTTCCAGGTCCAAATTTTGGTTGTTTTGATCTGAAATGATTAATAAGAAGCGGGTGAGATACGTTAACTCAGTAAGAACACTAAAAACCTTATCATCGACACAGTAATCAAAGAATTATAAAAAAATCATAAAACAACTGATAAAATAATTTTTTACTTGAAAATAAACCTGGTGCGATCGCACCCTTCCTTTTATAGAAATAATTTTATTTTCCTATGTTCTTACCAAACAACACTCATACACAACAATAAGGTATATTCAAGGACATAGTGAGAATATGATTAATTCTTTACCGTCCTACCCAAGCTAGGATTACTTACCATCACCATTTTTATTACATGTTGTCATTTTATTTTCATTACCGGTATCGCTGTGGGCTTATAGGGATCCCCGCTACACATGGGTACACAAACATTTCCTTTTGTAAATCACCGATCATCCTCGTATTCCATCTGGTAATGGGCGCCATAACCAAGAACTGTCTCAATACCCTGTCCGGTATGAGCATGATTAATTAACTCCCAACTCCGTCCAGTATAGGACTTCCCAGTCTTGTGAGACTGAGGATACATCCACTGTAGGGTTTATCCTATGTATCAAGTCTGTACATTCTCTCCCAGGATACCAGCAAGACCTTGATTTATATTCATGTTTACACATGCATTTAATAACATATAATCTTGCACTTTTCAATGGATTAATGGCATGTGAAATTCGTACCCTACTAAAACGAGAAGCATGTGAATCGTACTTTGTTACTCATCAAGGACCAAATTAAAATCTAGCCAAACGACGCAAGTGGAACGCATACTCCATGATTGGACCAACACTACTAATGAAAGTCATTATGTGACAAATAAATTTAAACACAAGGAATCTACAAAGTAAAATAATCATTCACAAGATAAATGCAATAAATAAAGTGAAATTCAGCAATTCGGTCCATATAATCAATGTGCTAATTTTTAACAGTCACACAAAATACATATAAGGACAAGATTAATAAACTAAATAAGAATAGAAAACTAAATAATACATAAATATAGGGAATGGAAATAACGATAAAATAACTGAAAAAAATAGGGAATAAATGTTCAAAAATTAAGGATGGGCGAAATAATTAGAACAATAAATAAGAGTTTATTAGCTCCATCGGCAACTTGGAAGATTGGATTTCACAACACGAATTAGATTTCAATTTAATCGAGTACACATGTATACATACATTCATAAATGTCTTTTTTATTTTATTTTATTTATTTATTTTTTTTTTTTTGTTCAGGCTTTGATTAAGTCGTTAGAAGGGAGGGATTAAGGTGTTCTTACCCTTGGGACGCCGGTGACGTCATTTCTTGCAGCCGTCGGTCGCGGTGGTACTCCTTACTCTCAGCTTCCACTGTTTCCTTCCTGTTTCCATTCTATTTTTTTATTTTTTTTTATGTGAATGGAAAACCAAATCGTCAGTATATACGGGAAGAGAAAGGGAACAAAGGAAGGAAAATGAGCTTACTAAAATTGGGCCGTGGCTTTCAATTGCAGACACTTGTTTTCCCATTCTCGACTACGATTTTTGTCAATCTAAGGCGAAAATGGTTAAAAAGGGGTCGGGAATAGATAAATAGGAGAAAAAAAAGAGAAAATCAAGCTTACCAACGTCGTCCTCGGCTTCTCTCTGGCATCCCGATCTTCTTATTCTCCGATTGACCTGGCAGATAGCATTTGGGAGGCTGATCTAATGAGAGGTTTAAATACCTATCGTCCTTTAATCAGGGCCATTTGTGCAGGTCCACGTGGAGCAACAATGGTCGTCCGATCGCACTTATTTTGAAAATGCATCTGAACCGTTTGGTTGGAGATACACGGGTCATTCGATCGAGCCTATTCAAGGAATTGATATGGGTCATTCGTGCGCGCGGGAGTGGCCCCGAGCCATTTGATCGACCTGGCATGCGGATTGCCAGTGTGGCTTCTTGCATGGAACCAGAGTCGGCGTGTCCGTCACGCTACGTACAACAATTCGCTGTGTTGCTAACTAGGCATCCACATTACCCGCTTCTTCTTTTTCGCGAATTGACCACTCTATTATAAATTTTTAATAAAATAAGTCATCCATTATTTTCATTCGGTCCTAATTTATAAAATTGTTTTAAAAAGCGTTCAAAATAATATATCTAACAAAAATAATTAAAATTAAAATCTAC